CATATTCCAGAGGTCTGTGATTCGATTCCCGGCGAGAGCGTTGCTCATTTTTCATCTCTCCTGCTGACAATTAACCTTATATCTCGACAACTTTTCTTTTATGAGGATGCTAATTCTTTTATTAAACTGCTCTAAATTTGGCAATTTAACAACATTTTGCCTATTTGAAGATCAATTTCTATACAGAAGTTTTTAATTTGTAGATTTTTGAATTTTTTCGACGAATTTTTAAAACATTGTATCATTGATAAATTTCATTAAAATAATGGTAACGTATTAAAATTATGCTTAAGAACATTAAATTAAAAGATGTTTATTTTTTGCTACCATATTATAAAGTGACATTACTTTCCATTTGGGGGACTTACTATTACAATATTTTGAGTCGGAAAAATAAGCAAAGTAGTGAATGCTTTAAATTACAATTTATGTAGCAATTCTTAGCAAGAGCAAAATATGTAATTATTTTTAAATGATTCTTTTTAAACTTTTTCATGATAAAAGTTTTTTCCCATGTAACTGTCTCCGAATATTCGGAATTCTTATGATATGCATCAGTTTTCTATATTAAAATCAAGTTGCACTTTTGTTTTAATGTTACAGAATTGTCTGTAACATTAAAACAAAAGTGCAACTTGATCAATTCTGTAACAGAATTGATACAGAATTGATACAGAATTCTGTTACAGAATTGATAGGGGCAATGTTTCCTTCCGGTTTTAGACATTGAACCTTGTAAAGTTTAGAAGGATCTGAAGACAAAATTTATTAACCTACGATTCTAGATTCCAGTGAAGTGTGACAAAATGAAAAATGTCTTCATTACACTAACACATAATGGATGCCGTTTTACAAAAAATTTATGACAAATTTCTCACTTTTTGGAGAATTTTTTTAAAAACAATGAAAACATAATATTTGAATGTTTTACTTCTGATCCTAGAAGACTTTTGCTTAACATGTTTATCTTCCATTTATGTTTATTCTTTTCGTTAGGTACAAGCATGGGAAACATTAAAAATGCTTCTAATCTTATCACATGGACAGGCATTTATAGAAAGGAGTTTTCCTATTAATAAAGAAATTGAAAACTGACAATTTACAAGATTCATCTTGTATGTCTCAATACATCCTATACAGGGTAGCACTAGGCATTTTCCCACCTGATGTTGTAAAGATGTTAGAATTGTTTTTGGAAGCAGGCAAGATGAAAAATTAGCAACACCTTTGCCAGGAATCGAACCATGGACCTCTGGATTATGCCCCCAGCGTGCATACCACCACACCATGAAGCCATGAGAAATATCTTATATACTCCCCCTTTTAAAGTGCGACTGGCATTTTTAGGGAACCCAATCGCCAAATCCTGGTTGGGAAGAATCGTCATCCAACACCCTTTTAGTTCGGGCACCACTGTAGAGACATTAGGATTTTTTTGGAAGCAGGCAAGATGAAAAATTAGCAATGCCTTCACCAGGACAACCGAGGACGATCTGATCACGCGCCCAGCTGCAGACCGCCACACCAGAAGGCGGAAGAATACCTCATAATGTAACCTCTGTGGTCCAAACTGCGTCCTATGCCTCCCTAATTCTGCTCTACGTGCCTGTCCTAAATTTTAAAAGTTTTGCCATTTCTAGATTTTGTTGCTCTGTGTGTTACTAAATTCTAAAAATTCTGTGACACTGGCTCTGTAACTGGCCCTGATTATCACTTCATATTTATTCGCAATGTTAATGTTGCTAAAGAAATAAAATTAGCAGCTTCTTCTATACGTTCTAAATATGTGTAGTTTTTAGAATAACAGAAATCTTTTAATTCAATCCAGAAATTCTAAAATGAAGAGGAAAGTTATTGAGGAAAGAAAATAATTCTTCAAAGATATGTACAGTTATTATTAGGTAAATTAACCAGGTCTTCATAATTTCTTTCTATAGCTTCTCCTTTCTGTTTCCTAACCAAATACAAGTTGATTAGATAGTATTTAAACTGAGGTTTTTGCATTGTAAGATAGAGTGTGTTTCTGGCCTCCACTTCATACTGCATTAGTTTCTAAGCTCTGATAATTTGTAATTATTCAGCTTTGTGTTATATCTGCCTCCATTTTAATTTATTTCTACGATAGAGTTGCTGAGCTAGCTTGTAAAATGAGTAGTCTTTGACTTCTATTCCACATTTGAAATTTAATTTTGACTTTTCCTGTTAAGTTACATCACCAAAAGTTGTAGTTGATTTTGTTAGCATAAGAATGTGCATTTAATTTCAACCTTTATTCTACTCTGGATATTGTTATACTTTGCATATTATTTTATCATACATTGGATATTATTATGCTCATTTTATCTAAACTTTCTAATTTCAGACATACTAATAACTTGCTTCATGTAAAGTGCAATTATACTCCAAGTTCTGTTTAAATAAAGAGGTTTATTTAAACCTTTTTCTTACTTTATAGTTAATTTCAGACATGGCAATAGTTTGCTTTGCGTGTGCCAGGGGTTTTGGACTGAAACTTTTACCAGATCAAGCGAAGCTGCATAGGTTTATTGTCGAGACATTGACAAGTAGATAAATTAAAAACAAGTGGGAACACTGGTTTGCATATTTGGAACCAATTTCTTATTGTCAGAAAAGATGTTTAAAGGGAAGCAAATTGATATGAATTAGTCAAAAAAATACTCATAGATATTTTTAGTGTGTTGTGTTTACAAAACATATATGTTTTGTAGCTTTTAATGTATAATTATACTAATATCGTTTAAGAATCAATGTCATAAACGTGTTTTAAACTGTGAAATGTTATTAGTTTTATGGTCTTAATAGTGCTTCTTTAATAAATATTTTTTTTAAGTAAATAAAGTTTAATACTGATCACGTTAATTTATAGTGACTAAGGGTTATCTAACTACCTACTTTAATTATTTGCAACTAATTGCTCACCTTTAAAAGTTATCTTTGCGTGCTCAAGCAAGTTATTGCCTTTCATTAATCCTTTTAGTGATCTCAAGATACAATACAAAAATGTAAAATGTATTCCTTACAGCTAGACTTACAGACTTAAAATAATAAAAAACAACTTATCACCTCTGATGGTTCAGTGGCTTATTGGAACCTTAAAGTATATTAACTGGGTTACAACTCTACGAAGTCTATGTGAAGCTACGACACTAATTTTGTCAGATAGAAAAAGCATAACTAACTTTTAAAACTTAACCAACCATCAGGTGTTCAGGTCTTTCTGATCTGCAGGTCTCTCTCTAGGCATGCAGCAGTGAGTCTTATGTTACAGATCATGCTGATTATGATTTTACTTCTCATTTTAACCTATGCCTTTTGACATAAAATATGGCTGCTATTTGTTACACCTCTACACTGAATAAGTGGAGAATGAAATGAAACATAATAACAAAAATTTAAAAAAAAAAAAAAAAAAAAAGCATAAAGCGAACAGTTTTTAAAACAGAAATAAAATGTCACTAATATTCTTAAAATATAATCAACTATTATTGGGGTAAACTATTTAATGTTATTTGATAAATTTTACAAAATTAACGTTATTGTCAAATTTGTTTTATAATTAATTTATGTATTGATAATGATTTATTTGCTTAATATAATGCATCCTACTTGTGGATCTGTTTTATTCTTAGGCTGGTATTACAGTAGTGAAATTCAGGCAGAGATAATATCTTTAACTGAATTATTCAGTTTCATTTGTTGATAGGTCCTTAATTTTATTCATTAATGGTCTTTAAAAGTACTTAGTTTCCATGTCCAAAAATGTGTACAATGATAAATGTTAGATTCTGCTAGTGCTCGAATCATCATGTGTTTTGCAAGCCGTATCAAATGTTTTTATTACTTTGCAGCAAAACTTCATTGATTCCTCATCTGATATTTATTCATTCCTCAGCTTTCAAATCCATGTTAGCAGATGTTCATTAGATCAAAGTAAATGATTAACCTTATAGAAAATTCTGTCTGTAAACTGGCAATATTTTATTATACAAGATGTCATAGAAATAAATGCTACAAATTATCATTTAATAGGTTTGCTTGAATTAGTTCTAAGTCTTCTCGGTCGTAAGCTATGCAGGAACACTCTTTCAAAGAGAAAAACTTTAAAGATTCATATTCTTTCATTCCCTGAATTATTTTGTTAAAATTTTTAATTAAAAAAATTTGCCCTTTGGGTTTATTTTTTGTCTTTAAGTTCCAAGGTAATACTCAAACATATAGAGTTTTCTAGAAATTTGTAATGAATTTTTTTATTTAATTTTGTTTTTTATATTCGTTTTCTGTTAAAAGTAAGGTTTAGTCAATTGAAGTATTTTAATATATTTTTTTCATTGATTGTCAGATAATTGATAATGATTTTAAAATTCTGTCCTGGAACAAATGTTTATTTTATTTGTCAAATGCCAGTTACATTGGCTGTTAGGCCATTAAACTTCTTGCTTGCCAATAGTGCTGAAATCTACAAGAAAAATTTGTCAGTGCTTCACGCTCGTCCAAATGTTCCGCCGTCATTGGCCATTCACTATTACATAAAACCTGGAATAAATGTTCAGTATCACTGTTATTCTTGAAATGAAGAATACTCCAGTTTCCCACATGCATGAAAATCAAATTTTAGAGGATGATGAGAATTACGAAGTAAAACATTTATGGAAAAGACTAATTTAAACTATAAAATTAGAAAATTAGTAAAGGATTTGGTTTGGTGTAAAACTAAGGTCTGCCACTTTTCCCCCTTCTCCTTTATTTTTATATAAAAGTCTCATTTAGTGCAAGAATTTTTTATATGAAGAGATAACAAATTCAAATGTGTTTATTAGATTTATTTTCATTAGTTTTTATATTAAGAAATAAGAGATTCAAATGTATGCATTAGATTTATTTTCACTAGTTTTTATAATTAAGCTTTCTGTTTATTCATTTTATAAATTTTGATTATTTACTGAAATGCAATTTAATACTTTTTTATTTTTAATTAACAGGGAACGAGAAGAAGAAGAGGCTTTAGAAAAAGCAAGGAAAACACAACAGCAGCAGCAGCAGCAACAACAACTACAGAAAGAAGCAGTTGTGTCAGCTAGAAGAGAGGAGAGCCAGCCTTTAACTCCAGTTGTTGTGAAGGCAGAATCTCCAATTCCAGTACCTTCACCAGCTCTTAGTGAAAGGGAAGAACTCAGGAGGTTAGAACAAGAAAAAAGGAGGAGAGAAGCTGTAAGCAGTTAGATTTCTATTTATTCAACTGAACATTCAGTACTATTTATTACAGTCAGGTTTCTTTCTCCCCCCCCTTTTTTTATTTCCAGAAGACTAATGAGTATTCCATTATCAGTGGTGGATATAGCACTGCACTAGCCCATGCTTTGGTTTCCTAACAAAAGTATTAAAATCCCATATAAATAAAATCCTACAGATGAGGGTAACATAGCTAGCTGCCAATTCTCCCAATTTTTATCTTTGGCCTTTTACTAAGGAAAATATTTCCCAGCAATAGATGAAATTTATTGAATTAATGAAATTCCGTTTCCCCTACTTTTAATGGTTTTCTGAGCAATTTTTCATATTAAATTTTATTATTATAACATTTTCTGAGCTTTCTGGTATTCAGTGTCATCTGATCTGAGTTATTTTAACCTACTGTAGACATTTATAAATTTTTATGTGAAGATTGAAGCAATATTTAATCATTTAATATTTGTTTTTAATTTTGTTTAGTTCAATACATGCTATATTATAAGTTTATCCACACAAATACTGTGTGCAGTAATTATTAATTTTATTTCCATCGTATTTAAAAGCACTTTGATAAATAAAGGTTTTTCTGCTATTCTTAGGATTTTCTTGGTATAGAAGTACGAGAAAATTTAAAACATGAAATTAGCCAAGGAACATAAAATTTAAAATATTTTATTAAATGCTTGTATATTTTACATCAAAATTGAAATAAATTGCTATTTAACTAAGTAAATTGAAGTCAGTTTGGAGTTCCTTTGAAATGGAATTATCACCCATATTGAAAATCTGTTTTTTAATATTTCAAATTTGGAAGCTATGGGGTAATTTACAAGTATCAAAATAAAATCGCAGTAGTTTACAGGATTACCTTATTTGTACAATACAACAGTATATAAACGTCTATGCATCTAAATTTCCAATAAACGTGACTATTTGTATACTGAGGAAAGTTATTGTAAATCCCTTTTTTGCAACTTTTTTCCGAGCTATGTAAAATTTTCACCTTTCTCAATCAATAATATTTATCATCCTAAGTCAAATTTCTGTGACTTTAAATAGGTAAACTGCTGGACTTTTTTTTTTTTTTTTTTTTTTTTTTTAATCATGGACTGAAATCAGACACATTATCCCTCTGTTAGTGTTAATGATTTTGATATCCATTGTGAAATTTTGAAAGATGAAATAATTTGCAGTCTCACAGTACACTTTCCCACGAATACTCAAAAAATGTACTTCCGAAAAAAAGTAATTTGTCTTGTGAATGCAGTCTACAATTTTTTATATCCGTTTCATTAAAACAGAATTAAGCTGTTTCTCCATTTACATTTTTCTTCATTTTAAGACATTTCTGTATATTTGTAACAGTGTTACATAATAAATTGTTAATGATTAATTTATTAAGCAATTTGCTTATTATCAGTACAAAATGTATTTATGATTATAACATTTGGAGTATTTGAGTCACTTTCAACTGTATAAATGGCTATATTTTTAAAACATTTATCACACTGGTTATTGAACATTTCAACTCAGTGACCACTTGGTGATACCATAAAAATCCAGAAACACACCCAGTAAAATGTAGACACTCATTTATACTTTGAAGCTATTTTGTAAAAGGTATCTGAGTAATGACAGTTATAGTAGGGTAAAATAAATTGTATTTAAAAGATTTACAGTTTAATAACCATCATAACATTTAGATTACATAATTCTTTTAGTGTTGATTTTAAAAAAATTCTCCTTACAAAGACAAGCATATTTCTTACCAACTACAAATGACTGTTCTCATCAACTGTCGAAAATGTGCAGCCATTACTTTAGTGACCTTTGAATTTAAAGTCAACATTTAGAACATGATCCATATCATGATGCAGTATACTATCTCCACTTTCATTGACATAATTTGAAGAGGGAATAAAGCAGTTAAAATGGATTCCCACTGACTTTGCTGTAATTGCTTCTTCTGTTCTTCTGGGGGAAAAAAAAAAGGAACTGTAAATTGACCCTACAGCATAGATGCCAATGTTTAGAATGGTGTCAGACTGGAGCGATGTGGATGACAGAATGGCGAAAGGTCGTGTTCTCAGATGAGTCACACTTCTGTTTATCAAGTGACAGTCGCCGCATACGTGTTGCTCCGGCAGTAACTGTGGAATGCGCCACCTTGCGACAATGTGGCATAATGGTTTGGGGCGCTATTGCCTACGATTCCAGTCACCTGTCTTCCGTTTCGGGCCTATGACGGCCCAACGATACTTGATAATGTACTCAGCCGGTGCATCTCCTCATTCATGGCTGCCTAATGCATTTTTCATCAGATACACACGACCACAGTGCCACATCTGCCACATGCTCTCAATTTATCCAGAGCTCCCTGCCACCGTATTCTCTTGACCGTCCCAATCGAACACGTGTGGGATGTATCGATTGCCCTTTCAGACTCTGCCCCTCCCTCATTCAGAAGAACTCAGGCAAATGTGTAAGGGACTGGAGTCACCCTCAGGACACCCTGAGCCGACGCCATTTCCTGTGTATTCCGGCTATCTTTGATAAGATAGATCTTACTAATTATTGGCTGCATCTGTCTGTCTTTTTCCAATTTCAACTTCCTACCACTCCTTCTTGGTGTTGCACTTTCAATGTCGAGCAGTGTATCATAACCCTCTCAGGGCGGGCATATATGCATTCCCTAAGAACCTCTCTTAGCCAGGCGTCCCATCCACGCATCACTAGAGATTGCATTCAGAGGACAGGTGATGTGTATATGCATTTTCAGCTGGAACATTTTTCTGAAGACTACTAGATGGCACCCTTTGTCCATTACTTTTGAAATGAACACTGTTTTAGCTTCCTAACCTTGAGTTTGATATATTCTTCCTGACTTTGGTATTTTACTCATTAACTGTTGCGAGGGTGGGGAGGGGAGGTAAAGCGTAAACAGATGTGGTCTCTTTAAATCCCTGCATGCTGCTAATATAAACATTCGCCCGTCTGATTTATACCCAATTCCTTTTTTTTTTTTTTTTTTTTTTTTTTTTTTATTTTATTCTATTTTTTCCTCTATTGTGTATGGTTTTTTTAGGGTTATTATGTGTTACAATTTTGCATGCTTCAGATAATTTCCTTTTTCTCTTTTTATTTCGGAAAGTGAAATAATTCCAGTCTATTGGCGGGAGGTGCTATTTATCATAAGAAGATACCCTCATAGGTAATGACATTTACTACACAGATGAGAGTGATGATTCATTTTAAAAGTTAGAAATGATACTTCTCCGTGCTTCCACACTCATTCATTTTAAATTTTGTTACTCCTTACTGTATATAGTCTTTATTCTGTTTTATTAATTTTAAACTTTATTGAGGGATTTTATCAATTAAAACTTTGGAATAATTTGAATAGCGCTTCTGAAAATTTGTTTTACAAGATAAGCGATTTTTTAAGTGTATTTTCATGTAAATGAAAGAAAAAAAAGGTTATTAAGGGCTAGTTTTAACATATATAAAAGCTCAAGTAATAATCTAAAATAATACCAAAAATTACAATGCTAGAAGTAACCCCCCCCAGATTTTTTAAAATAAAATTAGGCTTATTGATGCAAAACCTCCATCCTGTATGGTAATTTACATTAAAACCTTGCTTTTGGTTCACTATTTTTAGGAGTATTCTGTTTGTACAAATATTTTCATTAGCATAATAGGATATTCTATATCTTTTGCTAAAACGAAAGTTCGATTCTAATTTTCATTTCTTCCTATTACGTTCAATGCCAGCACTATTTTTGGAGTTGTTAAAAATAATTTCATAGCTGTAGTAATAATTATTCTCTGTATAAAACCTTTCTACATGCAATTTATTTTATGTAATTTTTGGCGGCTCCAGGAAAATTGTGAAGCTGGATAATGTTTTTCTCTTTGCATGTTAAACTTATTCAAGATTGTAATATATATTCAAATTATGTTATGGAAATTAAAATAGCATGTTTTCAAGAGTTTATTGCTGTTTTCAAACACATTAAATGCAATAAAATTTTGAAAGAAGAAATTTCTTATTATAAATTGAAAGTATTGGAAACATTATTATTTTATATGTAGTTCTTTGAGCTTTTGTGCTGTGAATCACGTAATTTTTCCTAGGGATATCATGAAAAACTGCTTTAAGTCAGCTATTTTGATGCACTTAACGACAAATTGGGGAAATAGGTTTTAAGTAAAGTTGCCCTCTACGGCTAATGTTCAACAAAAAAGCAATAAAGTTTTCACTTGATTCGCCCTTACTTGGAAATGTATAAGGCCTGTCATTGCGGATACTGTATGGAATTACCCACACTGCCGTGACTAGTTCTCATGATAGAGAAACAGTATCAGGTTCTGTAATATTTCAAACACAACATAGTATTTTTTTAAAAAGTCTGATTTTACATTCTTAATGATAC